GCTAAAGTGCAGTACAGTTGAGTGTAGTATAAACACAATTTTATGCATCCTCCCATGGCAGGGTCATTTTCGACATGTACTGAATCGGCAAAATAGAAGAAAAGTGACAACAGACTTACCACTGGACAACAGTATGGGCCTCGTCGATCACAATCAGGCCAACGTGTCCCTTGTAAACATCAGACCGCAACATCTCTCGGAATTTTTCATCGCCGAGGATAGTCTCGGGGGAGGTGAGTACAAACTGGAACTTCCCAGCGAGAATGCCCGCCGTATCTCTACTGTCCATCCCGAGGCAAACTGCCGTCAGCCCAAGACCGTTCAAGAACTCACAATGCTCCTTCATTATCGCATTCAGCGGGCTCACCCTAAGACGAACTCCTCTCCAGTCGCGCTCTAACAGCTCTCAGTTGCACAGCTGCTAGCGCGCGACTCTTCCTGGTTCTTGCGAGTCTTGCTGCGACTAGGAAACTCCCATAGAAACATAGGTCCTTTCCCCCGCCCGTTCGCACACTTAGGAACACGTCCTTTCCACTCATCAAAAACTCCAGAGTGGACTTTTGATGGTCATGCAGGCTCTCTAATCCAAAGAAGTCGCAAAAGTTCTCTTCCCAAGACGACGCCATGTTTGTTTTTATTTGTCACTGAACAGCCGATGTAAGAGCCGACATGATTGGTTCCGATAGCTAGCGCAGCTCATAAATATTTAATGTATAGTGCGTTGAAGATTTTCTCTGTGATACGTGATTGGCTGAGAGCGTGTCCCTGGAATCGGGTCGTAGAGTAGAAGATGCCATGTAATACGGCAGGGGTAAGGGGCGGAGAAGGAATTCGGAGCCGCTGCCCCTGCCATGGGAGGATGGCTAGGGAAGGCTGCGCGTACTATGCGAGTTGGGGGAGGGGGGCGTGGTGGTATCGCTTTGCCGACAATGTTTTCGTCGGATGAAAACCTATAAAACGTTAACATTTTGGGCTAGCGTCCGTTTAGGTGGAAATTAGGGAGAATTTTGGCGGCTTCTTGAAGAGTTTTGTGTGTCAAGACTCCACGTCCGCTGCATAACGCTGCGGGCCGTGGCCCGATGTGCGTCGGCCTGGCGACGGTCGGCACTTTGTGTGATACATTCTCTTACGGCTGTTGACTTTTGAAACGTTATAAACGCACTAAATTTTGTGTTCAAAATTGTACATGTTAGTTGTAGTTGTAGGCTATCTCTGTAACGACATGAGAGAGGTGTCAACAATGCTACATGACGCCGTTCAAGGTGACAAGTCGCTATTGTCTTACAAACCGTAAAACAAAACAATGAAACCTGACCCCATCTCATTAACTTTGTCTGGCGATCGGAAACGCGTTATGGTTACGCGATACGGCAACTCTACCGCGTTATGCCGCGTTCGGGTTAGCGTTTATGCATATTTGCCGAACGCGTTCGGAACGCGCGGGGAACGCGGCATTGACGCGACAGGATGTTAACATTGACGCGAGCTGTACTGTACATTGTATAAGCCCTGTGAAAATTCATATGCTTCCTTCACTGACTAAAATACATGTACACCAAGATATTGAACCAGAAAAACACCTTTAAGGCTCACACTTTTTTTACACAAACTTACACTCTCTTACATACCTTTAATAAGTACAACACCTGCAGTGGCCAGCTTTATCATGGAATGGGGGAGGCACCTGTGGGTGCACCTGGCCAGCTGCAGCCATGTTCTCCAGGACACCTGGTGAACATCAAAACAGGTGCACATCAGCAGGTGAGAGCCACAAAAAAAAATATGTGTTTTTGGGTCTGTGTGATTTGTATGTGCATGTGTGTGTGCAAGTGATTATGCATGTGTGCGTGTGCGTGTGTTTGTATATGTG